ACATTTTCAGGGGCACCAACTGGGTGGCTCACCTGGTTAAGCATCTGATTTAGGTCCAGGTAATGATCTCACAGTTCACAGGTTCAAGCGCCGGATCAGGCTCTATGGTGACAGCTCAGAGCCTGGAGCCTGCTTTGGATTCTGTGTCTTCTCTCTCTGCCCCTCTCCCACTCATGCTCTGTCTCTCAAAAATACATAAACGCTAAAAATTTGTTTTTAAAAAAAGAAACAATCTACATTTTCGGTCTATACTACTTTATTATTTATTATCCTTTTTAGAAGTTGCTGAATACATTCTGTTGGGAATTTTCATGTCTATGTTCATGAAGGATATTAGCCAATGGTTTTCTGTTCTTATAATGTCACTATTGGATTTTGTTATCAGGATAGTGCTAGCTTCATAAAATGACTTAGAAAGGTTTCATGTCTATGTTTTTTTAAGATTTTGGTTAGAATTACAATCATTTTTTCCTGAGATATTTAGCTAGAATTTGCCAGTAAAGCCATCTGCCCCTAGGTTTACTTTGCTAGAAAGTTTTTATCTATACATTTACCTTGTTTAGGAGATATAAGACTATCCAGGCCGTCAGTTCTTGTGTATGCTTTGGTAGTTTGTGTCTTTCAAGGAATTTGAACATTTTGTTAAAATTGTCAGTTTTATAAAGATGTTCCTAATATTCTCATGAAGTTGTTCCCAATATTCACAGAGACCTCAACACCTGCAAGCCATGCAGTGGATTGAGAATCTGGAACTGCTGCTCCTGGTGGCTTGCAACAGGTATCACTTGCTTGATATAATTTAATTCCATTTGGATTAGAGAACATACTTGGCATTTTACTTTTTTAAAAATTTGGTCTGGTTTGCCTTATGGCGCAGAATATGATTTGTCTTGGTGAAGATTCCAGATGCACTTTAAAGTAATGTTGAGGGGCGTCTGGGTGGCTCAGTTGGTTAAGCTTCCGACTTCGGCTCAGGTCATGATCTCACGGTTCATGGGTTTGAGCCCCACATCCGGCTCTGTGCTGACAGCCCAGAGCCTGGAGCCTGCTTCGGATTCTGGGTCTCCCTCTCTCTGCCCCTCCCCTGCTCATGCTCAGTCTCTGTCTCAAAAGTAAATAAACATTTAAAAAAAATTTTTTAAGTAATGTTTATTCAACTGAGATGTTCTCTAAGTGGCAAATAAGTCAAGTTGGGTGGTAGTGTTGTTCAAGTCTTCTATATCCTTACTGATTTTCTGTCATCTCATTTTGTCGATTACTATGAGAACCACTGAGTTCTCCAAATATACTTACGGTTTCCTATCAGTTTTTGCATCATAAATCTTGAAGCTCTGTTGTTAGGCACATACACATTTAGAATTGTGTGTCACCTGCTGTAAGTTTGGTAATATTGCTTGTATGAAATTTTTTGTTAATATGAATATAGTCCAACTTTCTTTTGATTAGTTTTAACATGGCATACCTTTTTTTCATCCTTAGTCTTTTAGCCTACTTATCTTTATATTTAAAAAGGGCTTCTTATACAAGTATATAGTTGGGTTTTGCTTTTTATCCAATCCGACAATCTTTAAGTGGTGTGTTTAGAACATTTAATGTAATTATTGATATCACTGGGTTTGAAGCTATTATCATGCTAATGTTCACTATTTCCACCATGTGTTATTTGTTCAGTTTTCCTATCTGCTTTTGGCTTATTTTTTATAATTCCATTTTGTCTCTACTACTGGCTTATTAGTTATATACCACTTAAAATTTTTTTAACGGTTACTCTGGGGCTTATAAATTTTTCAGTCTACCTTCTAATTTTTTATGACAATTCATGTAGAATAGCATACTTCTAATTTCTCTTAGCCCTGTTTTATGGTATTGATACATTTTATTTTTTATATATGCTATACTCACAAAACCTTGCTCACGCTCTGCTTTAGTGAATATTTTTGAGTTATTAAAAATAAGAAAAATTATTTTATATTTGCCTCTATTTTAACCTTTTCAATTGTCTTTCTCTCTTTTAATCCAAACTTAACTCTGGTACAATATTCTGCCTGTAGAAATATCTTTAATATTTCTTTCTTTCTTTTTCTTTTTTGCAAGTACATAAGGGTCTTTATTACAAGCTCGAGCAGGGGCTCACCCGTCTACTGGCGCAGCGGCAGCAAGGCGAGGCCTAATATTTCTTGTAGTACAGATCTGCCGGTAGTGAATTGTTAGCTTTTTTCATCTGAAAATCTTATTTTGCATACTTTAAAAAAATGTTTTATTTCTGAGAGAGAGAGAGAGCGCGCGCGAGCGTGAGCAGGGGAGGGTCAGAGAGTGAGGGAGACACAGAATCTGAAGCAGGCTCCAGGCTCTGGGCTGGCTGTCAGCACAGAGCCCGATGCGGGGCTCGAACCCACGAACCGTAAGATCATGACCTGAGCCGAAGTTGAACGCTTAACCCACTGAGCCACCCAGGCACCCCTATTTTGCATACTTTTTAAAAACACTTTTTCACTGGGCTTGGAGGTTTTGATTGACAGCATTTTGTTTCAAGATGTTTCAAGATTTGTTTCAAGAAGTCCACTGACTTCTGGCTTGAATGATGAGAAGTCTGCTCTTTTTCTCATCTCTGTTCCTTGTATGTAATGTGTCCTTTTCCTCTGTCCACCATCAATATTTCCTCTGCCTTGTTCATTTTCAGCTGTTTGGCAATAATAGGTCTAATATTTTTTTATTGCTTGTTTGTTTTTAAATCCTGCTTGGTTTCTCTGAGGTTCTTCGATCTAGAAGGGGCCTTTTATTATTTTTGGAAAATTCTAAGCCATTGTCTCTGCAAATATTTTTCTTTTAATTCTTCCTCTCTTCCTAAATTTCCAATTATACGTATATTAGACCAAAAAAAGTTTTTCTCCTGTTCTTTAATGCTCTGTGTCCTTCACACTTTTTGTTTTAATTTGGATTTCAATTGACCTATATTCAAGTTCTCTGACACTCTCCTCACCTTTGTTGAACTTACTCATGAGTCCTTCAAAAGCATCCTTTATGATAAAATGTTCTTCTCTAGCATTTCCTATTTGATTTTTTATTAATTTCCACTCAAGTTCCCCCATTTGTTCATGTATATTGTCTGCCCTTTTCACAAAAAAGCACTCAACACATCAGTTACATAAAAATTCTCTGATTATTTCCAAAATATGGGTATCTGTGTGGTTTTATTAATTGGCCTGCTGCTGTTTGCAGCAGTAATTTTTTTTACTGAATGCCAAATAACATGTATCAAGTAGTAGAAACTGAAGTAAATACTATTTTTGACTGGAACTGGGCACAGCTACTCTGCTAAGGTGTTAGGGTGAACCAATCTGGTCAGGAGTTAAGGTGGAATTAGATTCTGTTGTTGAAATAGTTATCCTCAGGATAGCACTTCAAATTTTTCTAATGTTACCTGGTGCTTCCGGTTGGAGCCAGAGTGCTGGAGGATTTTTCTGTGTTCCTTCTTCGCCCTCAGCTTTTGGCCGTCTCTGTGCACCTGTGCCACAGGAGTCTCTGTCCCTATTCTTGCTGTTTTTCCAATGTAGCCTGCCACTGCTTGTCACTATGAACAAGCTAGCCTGTTTATGGGAAACAGGGATATTCTTTATTGTCTTGGTTTAGTCTTGGTCTTGAGTTGGGGTTGGAGAGGACAGAGATCTTATGCATTTGGGGGAACTAGGACTACATAACAGTAAAAATGAGACAGAAGTTCTCTTCCTTCACCTGTGAGCAAAAAAAAAAAAAAAAAAAAAGCAGGTGATACTGCTATCTTGAGAGCAATCTAAAGACAAGAGTTCACATAAAAGGACAGAGGTAAGAGAAGCCCAGACCCATGTTTTCCCTACCTGTATATTTTCATTTGTATGAACTGAGAAATAATTTTGGTTTAAGCAAATCTAAGTTACATTTCTTGTTACTTACAGCTAAAAGCATCCGAAATGATAAAACCACCATGAGCTTTCATGATTTTTCCCTTGGAAGAGATGACAGTAAAGAAATGCATTAGAAGCCCCAATTTCTGATATGATGCAACTTGACCTAGCACCTTGAAAGCCAGGGTAAGGGAGTGCCTTGATCACCCCATTCATCATGGGGGAAATCTGAGAAAAATTATAATGCACCAATTTATAACACTGCTGAATTGTACTAGGGCATTCTAGATTGCATGGTCTATGAGACCTAAAGAAATTTCACAGAAGGGTCAAGTGTCTGCCACCTAATTTATCTGTATCCGTAGAAACCTAGAGAATTTTGAAAATTAACTTCAAGAATTTTATTCTTTAGTTTGGGTCATAATGCCATCTAGTGAAATAAAGCGATCACATCACGAGTTCTTAAATATAAAGGATGATATCTCAGTAGTTTATTACTTCGGTAAAATTGGTAAATGTTAATTGCAAAAATTTTAAATGAAGTACAAAAAAGGAAAAGACTAAGCCATAATTCTGCTTGTCAGAGAAAACTGTTGTATATATGATGGTGAGTAATCTTTCACACATTTTCTCTTAAGCATGTATTTGAACATATATGTATGCAGACTTAAGTTAACTGGATATTTTGAAGGTACAATCCACATTTTCACTGACACAATATACATAATTCTTTCCTATCATTATAGATTGATTCCTTACTTTCTGTAATTCCGTTTTATAGGAACTTGGAGAAATTTATTCAAACTCCTATTTATTTTTTAATTTAAAAAACTACCTTCATTATACAGTTTAAAAAATGTACCCTCATTGTACAAATCCCTTTACATCATTAAAATGGCTTTATCATAAATTATTATTCTAAGTTTCCAGGTGGAAATCAGTCAGATCAGTGTCATATGTAAGAAATGAATCACTGGATTCTATTCCTGAAACAAAGACTATACTGTATGTTAACTAACATGAATTTAAATAAAAAATAAAAGTTTCCAATAAAAGTGTTGACCAAAAAAATCAGATCAAAAGAACTTTGACAGAAACGTGAAGACTAAGAAAACCAAGTATTGTAACTTTGACATTTATTAAGAAAGTATTTTTCATTAGCAACCATTTCTGATACTTTGCAAATATTACAGTAAAACTCTGCCTTAACACACAAGGCAGGAGTAAAAAGTCAATTATGTAAAATGCAGTGTAACCAGAAATATTGTTTATCAATTTGTACTGTCATTTAAAGTGTACATATGTATACACACACACATACACACACAGTGCTAAACTTAAACTGATGGAATATTGTATAGAAAGAGACCAAATGGTAAGAATTCAGCTCATCTCTGTTTAAGACAAAGACAAAGGATGGGAGCCAATTCCAACAGGGTTACATCCCAATTCATGTAATTTCAGATTACAATATTGCTTGATATTCTACATTTCAAATATTTTCCCACTTGAAGTGCTTATGCTAAGGTTACTTGCAGGATTCCTCCTCCAAATACGTTTTTAAATGATTTTGGGGGGCTAAATGAGCTAAATAAAATTTTCAAACATGATCCTTTTAGACATTTTTAGTCATTTAATAAAAAATACTGAGCACCTACACTGAGTTATGCAATGTCATGGTTTTATAAATTCAGTAAATGAGTGAAGCCCCTTTTCTCATTAAGCTTAACATTAGAGTGGACATGGATTTAGGCACGCTCTTCACTGAACTTTCCTTACTCTGATCTTTTATAAGCCCTAGTACAATGACAGTTAGAGTCATTGCAATGCCTCTTAAAACTGTGAGAAAATCCCTTATGGGAACTCTTTAGTTAGATGTCTCCACAGCATGGTCTCCTGACTAAGGTGGATGCTGAGGTTGGGAAGAAACATTACAGTTTCATTAAAGAAAATTTTTCTACTATAAGAACTCTAGTGAGTGGAAAATTTTAGTTCCAACTTGAGGACTTCAAAACAAACAGAACTGTTTTTATATAACTTCATTTCTGTATGGATTCTCTGATGAAGGAAAATTCTTACCATACTCTTCACTTTTATAGAATTTATCACCACTATGGACTCTCTGATGAATTAGTAGACCTGAGCTCCAACGGAAACCCTTACCACACGCATCACATTTGTATGGTTTCTCTCCGGTGTGGACTCTCTGATGAGCCTGAAGGTTTGATCTCTGACTGAAGCCCTTTCCACACACCTCACATTTGTATGGTTTTTCCCCAGTGTGGACTCTGTGATGAGCTTGAAGACTTGAAAACCCACTGAAACCCTTACCACACTGTTCACATTTGTAGGGCCTCCCTTCTGTGTGGACCCTCTGATGTGCTTGAAGGCGTGAACTCTCACTGAAGCCCTTTGTGCATACCTCACATTTGTATGGTTTCCCTCCTGTGTGGACCCTCCGATGTGCTTCAAGACGTGAACTCTGACTAAAACCCTTCCCACACATCTCACATTTATACGGTTTCACTCTAGTGTGGACTCTTTGATGACCTTGAAGATATGCTCTCTGACTGAAGCCCTTCCCACATACCTCACATATATATGGTCTCTCTCCAGTGTGGACACTCTGATGGCTTTGAAGGTATGATCTCTGACTGAAGCTCTTACCACATTCATCACATTGGTATGGCTTCTCTCCTGTGTGGACTCTCTGGTGAGCCAGGAGAGTTGAGGCCTTACTGAAGCCCTTACCACATTCTCCACATTTATAGGGTTTCTCTCCTGTGTGAACCCTCTGATGAATTTGAAGATTAAAACTCCAACTGAATCCCTTCCCACACTCCTCACATTTGAATGGTTTCTCTCCAGTGTGGACCCTCTGATGGCCTTGAAGGTGTGAACTCCTACTGAAGCCCTTCCCACACTCCTCACATTTGTATGGTTTTTCTCCTGTGTGAACTCTCTGGTGGCCTTGAAGGTATGAATTGCGACTGAAGCCCTTCCCACACTCTTCACATTTGTATGGTTTTTCTCCAGTGTGGACTCTCTGATGGGCTTGAAGGTATGAACTCCGACTGAATCCCTTATCACACTCCTCACATTTATAAGGTTTCTCTCCTGTGTGGACTCTCTGGTGGACATTGAGAACTGATCTATGACTGAAGCCTTTACCACATGCATTGCATTTGTACGGCTTCTCTCCAGTGTGGACTCTCTGATGATCTTTAAGTTTTGAACTCCAATTGAAGCCATTCCCACAATCCTTGTAAGCTTTCTCTCCAATGTGAATTTTCTGATGACCTTGAAGATATGAATTTTGGCTGAAGCTGTTACCACATGCATAATATTTATATGGTTGTCCCCTAGTATGAACTATCTGAAGGTCCTGTAAACCTGAGTCCAGACTGAAGTTATTATCACATTCCTCAGAATTGTAAGGAATCTCTTCCATGTGAACTCTATGCTGAATGTTAAGATTTGAGCTACAAAGAAAACCCTTCTCATATTCCACATCTGTGTATAGCTTCTCTCCAGTGTGGATTTTCTGGTAGACTTGAAGACAAGAACTCTGATTAAAGACATCCCCATTCTCCTCATATTCATGGGGTTTCTCCATAGTACGGACCCTAAAAATACTATTAAGGTCCAAGCTATGATTCAAGGCTTTCTCATAAATATTGCATCTGTAGGATGTCTCCCCTGTGTGAATTAGTTCACAAGTGTTAAGAGAGGAGCGCTGACTGAAGTTCTCACCATATCCACATTTATATGGCTTCTCTTCCGTGGGTACTCTCGGATGGGACTGCAGATGTGAACTCTCAAAAACACAATCATCTCTTCTGTGAACACTTTGATGAATATGAAGAACTGAACTATAGCTACAGCCCTTTCCACATGGACGGTAGGCATGGGTTTTCCCTTCTAAGTGTAACTGCTGATAAACTTCAGAGTTGGAGTCATCACCGAAGGCTTTTCTGTACTCATTACAGGAGTAGGGCTTTTGCCCCATTTTGATTAAGCCTTGATTAAGCAGTGAAACCTTCATGAGGTTTTCTCCACAGTCATGGCAGCTGTAATTTTTTTCTGTTCTGCGTACTCCCAGACTATCATTGTGTGCTGTGCTCCAACTTGTGCTGTCACACTTACAGAAGTTATTTTTCATCAAAAGTTGCTGACATCGACACTGATAATTACGTGACTCTGTCAGATACATTTTTCTCCAAGAATGCTGGGCTCTCCAAGATGGAAATTCTTGACTTTTTAGGCAACTGGAAACATCTTCTATATGAGTCAATAGATAGTTCTCATCTTCAGGAATACGAACTGGCACTGTGGCCCAAGCCTGGCAGGGGAAACTACCTCGGTTTTGCAACTGAGAAATATTCCTTTGAAAATTTTTCATGGCATCTTGACACCTGGTTGACCTGCTGCCACCTTGTTGCCAGGTCTTCTGAGAAGAAAGGTCTTTGGAGGAAATGTAACCTAATCCCACTGCTTGGCTACTCTCCATATTATGTTGACTCTTGGTTCCTGTAATGATAAAGAGAATTTAGATATGTTTTTATCTAAATAAAATAGTGATAGATTTTTCCTTAGAGGCTTTAAGATTTTGCACTTAGATCACATGAAATTACAGGAAAATTCATGTTACTACTTCTAAGACTTAGGGGCGCCTGAGTGGCTCAGTCGGTTAAGCTTCCGACTTTGGCTCAGGTCATGATCTCACCGCTCGTAGGTCGAGCCCTGTGTCGGGCTCTGTGCTGACAGCTCAGAGCCTAGAGCCTGCTTCAGATTCTGTGTCTCCCTCTCTGCCCCTCCCCCCACTCAAAAATGAATAAATGCTAAAAAATTTTTTTTTAAAAAAGAATACTTAGAAAATGGCTCTTCTTCAGTTATATCAGGAATATAAGTAAGGTCCACATAATTCAAGCTATCTGTATGCCTCAAAATCAGGGATTTGCAATGCAACTGGGAAACACCAAACATGGCAGCCCTGTTCAAAAGGTCTAGTGAAACCATACACATATTATTATGGGTTTATCATTGGTTGCATGGAGATGCCAAGAAGGGGGTATTCTCAAATTGGGAAGAATGTAGATTCAAGTGGACAAAACTTTTTTCCTCTCTGGCATGTGGGTATGGCAATGTGAGGAGGTAGTGTTAAATGCTGTGTAAAGGTAAACACAGACCTTTATGCATGAGGCATCATATGGCCCCTATAAGCTATTTATCTTCATGAGAATAATAAGGTCTTCTAAGTCACTGTAAGCCATATCACTTTCAATGCTTTTCAAAAGATATTTCATGGGGCACCTGGGTGGCTCAGTCAGTTGAGTGTCCGACTTCAGCTCAGGTCATGATTTCACAGTTTGTAAGTTCAAGCCCTGCATCGGGCTCTGTACTGACAGCTCAGAGCCTGGAGCCTGCTTCAGATTCTGTGTCTCCCTCTCTCTCTGGCCTTTCCCCACGCCCACTCTGTCTCTCTCTCTCTCTCAAAAATAAATAGATATTAAAAGAAAAAGCTTTTTAAAATCTCACCAGTAGACCCATACAATCCCCAACTTTATTCTTTTTTAGTTTTGCATTTTATTGTTTTTTTCCAATTAAAATTTTTAGTTTACTGAAAATTTTTTATTAAGGTCAATTTTTTTTCCATAAACTTTTTTTTAATTTAAATTCAAGTGAGTTAACACACTGTGTAATCTTGGCTTTAGAAGAACCCAGTGATTTGTCTCTTACATAGGCCACCCAGTGCTCATCCCAAAAAGTGCCCTCCTTAATGCCAGTCACCCATTTAACCCACCCCCCCACCAACTTCCCCTACTATCCCCAACTTTAAAAAAAAAAAAAAGAAGACGAAGAAAGAAACAAAAGAAACAAAATGCCACAATGATGACTGAGGGGCACTAGGCTGTGTGACACTGCAGTGACCACAGGGTAACACTTTATGGCTTTTCCACACAAACTCCTCTCAGTACTTAAAAAAAAAAAATGCTCAGTGATGTCTCTGGTTTCTCAAAAGCAAAGTTTCCAGTTATTACACTCATACTTTATCACATAAACATGAAATGAAGAGACATACTACAGGAAACAGAAAAAGTAAATAGCTGTATGTAAGAAGTTTGGCGTCCAGCTAGAGATCATCACAGTCCTTATAGTTTTGTTGGTATCAAAAACATTCAGGATACATCCAAAAGATACAGCTTAATACATTATATCTTTTGGGACTGACATGGTGGCTTGAGGACATGGAAGAGGCTTGTTGGTCAAAACCCAGTTGTTTACAAAGCAGCTCTGTCAAAAGACATATGTATATAATTTTTGACATGACTGTCTCAAACATTTAAGAGATTAAAGTGTCTTCTTGACCAGTGGCTTTACAATGTTAAAGCAATACAGGAAGGGGAAAAAGGGTCATTTCACTTGGTTTCAGGCTCCATGGAAAAGATCACACAGTTAATGACAGTAATTTTAATTTCCTTTAGCCAGTGAAATTTCCCCCACAATTAAATGAGTTCTTTCTTTTTGGAAGGTTATTATTTATCAATTCAATTTCTTTAACGGACATAGGCTTATTCATATCGTCTATTTCTTCATGCATAAATTTTGGCAAGTTATGTCTTTCAAGGAATTGGTCTACTTCATCGAGGCTATCCTATTTGCATAGAGTTTGTCCACAGATTCCTTTATTATTCTTTTAATGTCCATAGGACCTGGGTGATGTCCCCTCTTGCATGTCTGATATTAGTAATTTGTATCCTCTCTCTTTTCTTCTTAGTTTGCCTGGCTACAAGCTTACTGGTTTTAATGATTTTTCAAAGCACCAGTTTTTGGTTTTTTCTCCATTGGTTTCCTGTTTTCTATTTGATTTCTGCTCTAATTCTCATTATTTCTTTTCTTCTGCTTACTTGGGATTTAATTTGCCCTTCTTTTTCTAGTTTTTTAAAGGTAGGAGCTTAGACAATTGATTTTAGATCTGTCTTCTCTTCTAATATATGTCTTCAGGGCTTTAAATTTCCCTCCTTCAGGTGCCTCGTTAGCACAGTAGGTAGCGTGTCAGTCTCATAAATTTCCCTCCTAGCACTACTTTCTCTGCGTGCTACACATTTTTATGAGCTGTGTTTTCATTTTCATTTAGTTTAAAATATTTTTAAATTTCTCTTGAGATTCTACTTTGACCCATGTACTATTTAGAAGTGTGATGTTGAATCTCCATGTATTTTGGGATTTTCCAATTATTTAGTTTATTGATTTCTAGTATAATTCAATTGTGCACAATTGCATGACTTCTATTCTTTTAAATTTAAGACGTGCCTTATGGCCCAGAATGTGGTCTATCTTGGTGAATGTCCCACATGAGCTTGAGAATAATTCTCTTTCTAGTCATGCACGTTAAAATTGGCTCTGACGTCCAACTCCATGCCACAAAGTTAAAATTTTAGAATTCAGTTTTGAGTCAGTCTACAGGGGAAACATACAATGTATGAAAACAAGAGCAGGTTATGTAGAGTGGGAGCAGAGAGGGTGAGATGCAGAAAACAAAGACACCTTTATATTAGAGCATAAAATTGACCAGCCTATCACAGCCTGAGATCTGATAGTAGAACCACTATTAATGATCACAAGTTATTAAACATATGTGTAATTTAAAAAATGGATTTGTCTTATTTTATTAGCAACATGCCATTTTATGTGTATTTTCTGTATGTCTGAAGTTAGTTAAGGCAAATGTGGCAAGTTTTCTATTAAAAAGTAAATTCTGGTGAGGTGAGGAATTATAATTCTGGATAAACATGTCTGCCACATGTAGGACATCATTAAATATTTATAAAAAGGTTGTGTTAAAATTTAAGTTTAGTTAAAGGTAAGTTGACATATAAAGTTAAGTTACAATTGCAGCAATTAGTAACACAGTGATGTGTGATATTCCAATTAAGCCATAAAGGAATTAAAATTATCAAAGGAAACAGAACAGGAGTCTGAGACCCACTGATAGGCATGGGAAGTTTCTTTGCTCAGTGTCAGATAATTATAACCTGAAGGAAGCAGAATTAAAGATGAGGAATTCTTAGAGACTGTTTCTAAGAAAAACACTGACTTCTCAGCTGTTCTTTTTCACTGTGGGTGACAATCACCTTGAGACAGAGAAGGAGATCAGAGTGCAAGAAATGATCTATGAGAGGGGCGCCTGGGTGGCTCAGTCAGTTAAGTGTTCAGCTTTGGCTCAGGTCATGGTCTCACGGTTCATGGGTTCGAGCCCCGCATCGGGTTCTGTGCTGACAGCTCAGAGCCCGGAGCCTGCTTCGGATTCTGTATTCCTCTCTCACTCTGTCCCTTTCCCGTTCATGCTCTGTCTCTCTCTCAAGAACAAATAAAACATTAAAAAAATTTTTTTAAACATCTGAGATTATTTAAAGATAATGCTGAAGAAGTCTGGTCCATGAGTAGACTCATGGCATTAAAAATAAAAATGGATCAGTGCTACGAAGAAGGGAGGCTTCAGTACTGAAAGAGCCTTTAAAAAGTACTGAAAGAGCTTAATACATGCTCTGAAAATACTGTGGTCTTCGTTGAAGGGAAAGTTCCTTTCTGGGTTTCCTAAAGGTGTTCAAATGGTGGTACCAGCCTCGGGGTCCCTCAGGACACCAGAAGAGTGATCAGAAGCAGAGGAGCTGTGCCACATTGGGGGGTATATGTGGGCAGGTGTGTGTGTGTAATGCACACACATGTACACTCGTGTATGTGTTGTTCCTGGTAATGAGTAAGGAAAATCTCTAGTGGTTGACAGATATAATAATCCCATAACACTCCTTCTGGTGGATCTGACATTCTTGACATGTGCTTCGGAGTCTGTCATTCTGTCCCCGGACTTTCTAAGAGCCTCAACAACAGACAGGAATATAAAACCAGGAAGCACTGAGATACATTTCATGCCTCTTGAGAAATAAGAAAACTTGGGCCACGAGGATTCCTATCAAGAACATGCAAATGGAGACCGGCGAGAGGGAGCACTCCCCCCCGATTATGGATTAGTGTGGCTCTTGCCAAATATTGTACTACATGCTCACTGATACGCAGAGGTGCTGCTTTCCAGTCTCTTCTCACAGAGAAAATAAAACTTTCGAAATACTTCCTGCAAGATAATTTGCATGGAGCCCCTTCTGACTTGACAGATGGAGATTACTAGAAGTAAGGATCTCATGGTTAACGAGGTGGATGGATTCGGTATAATTAGAGATGACACTGAAAAATGAAAAAACAGGGGCGCCTGGGTGGCTTAGTCGGTTAAGCGTCCGACTTTCGCTTGGGTCATGATCTCGCGGTTCGTGGGTTCGAGCCCCGCGTCGGGCTCTGTGCTGACTGCCAGCTCAGAGCCTGGAGCTTGTTTCAGAGTCTGTGACTCCCTCTCTCTCTGACCCTCCCCTGCTCACGCTGTCTCTCTCTCTCTCTCTCTCTCTCTCTCCTAGAAATAAATAAAACATTAAAAAAAAAAAAATTTAAAAAAAGAAAAATGAAAAAACAGAAACAAT